GCACATCCGCACATGAGTAGATCTGAGTGTTTAATCTGGTGCTGCCCAGTTTGTTTGACCACCGCACTCTCTGATGCCAATATGAGAGGACTCTAATGTAAGAAAGACTCTTTAGGGAGCCTTATGTAAAGAAAAAGCTTGGGAGCGCCTAGCTGGCTCAGTTGGAGGAGCATGCGACTCTTGGTCTCAGGGTTTTGAGTTTGAGCCCCATTTTGGGTGTAGAGATTACTTAAATAGAAAAAGAAAAGAAAAAGCTTGAAAGAATGCCCTTCCCAAATAAGAAGATTGTTAGTTTGCTTTGTGGCAGGGCTCACAGTGAATTCTTTATTGAACTTGGGAGGCCAGAAGAGAGAGCAGTGGCAAACATGGGGATAGTCACTAAAACAGACATTGTGCCCACTTTCTTTCATAGTTCAGCTTTTAAAACCCTAGTCATTCGGTCTCACCATTTATAATGATAGCATTTTTCAAAACACCATTTTGGGCTATCTTTTTGGTATCTGTTTTCAGTTCCACCCCTTGCTGGCCTTAGCTTGATCAGTAATTAGTTATTGCAGTCATATGCTATCAGCCCTCTGAAGATTTTGTTTCTCCCCCTAGTGCCTAAAGTCCATTAACAATTGCCAGGTAGATATAAATCTTGTTGAGAATGCACATTAAAAAGTAAACAAACTCACCATACTTTAGACTTTTTTTTAAAAAAGATTTTATTTATTCATTGGAGAGAGAGAGAGACAGAGTACGAGCAGGAGGGAGGGGGAGAGGGAGAGGGAGAAGCAGACTCCCCAGTGAGCTGGGAGCCCAGCTTGAGACTCAATCCCAGGACCTGGAGATCATTACCTGAGCTGAAGGCAGATGCTTAAGCATCTGAGCCACCCAGGTGCCCCATACTTTAGACTTGTAATCTTCATACTTCCTTTTATCCTCTCCTCTGCTTCTGCAGATCACTGATGATCAGAAACCTCTCTGCTATGGGACTTTCCAGTATTTATGAAATGACTGCATCTTACTCTTGTTAGAAGTTCTAATCTTTTAAAAATATTTACCAGTGCAGTGTACCTGAGGTTGCTTCTCTGACCTTGGAGGTGGGACAAACATATAATAGGATTGAGAAGATGTTCACCCCATAATTCTAGGGAGCCTGGGGAAGGCACACTGTCCAGTTGTGGCTGCTTCCCAAGACAGCAATGGAAGAACCAGTAGAGCATGGACTGGCTGTGGCAACAAGGGTCAGGCTTGGGAGAGGCAGTGAGAATCAGCTGGGCCCAGGGTGAGTGCACTGTGTAGCTCATAGTGGATGTGAGCCCCTCCAGGACTGTTCCAGTAATCTCAATACACTTCAGAGAAGCCAGGCTGAAGCAGACTTATTTCTTGAAGCTTGCAAAGAGAAACAGCCGGCAAAGATGGGAAAAGAAACCAAGAGATCCAAGGGAGTTGGGTTGGGAATTCATCGATATGATACGGGTCCTGAATTCTCAAAAATGATAGGACTGGGAGTTTGAGCCACGTTTACCTAGGACTCCAAGGTGCAGTGAAACCCCCACATGGTATTCAAGTTACAGGTGATTTAAACTTGCTCAGTTTATAAAATAAAAATATTATAAAAATCTGTATTAAAAAAGGATTCAGGGGGCACCTGGGTGGCTTGGTCAGTTAAGTGTCTGACTCTTGATCTCAGCTTAGGTCTTTATCTCAGGGTTGTGAGTTCAAGCCCTCCATTGCACTCCATGCTGTGTGTAGAGCCTACTTTAAAAAAAAAGAGAGATTCAGAACATAGCTTTTTTTCTGGCATGAAATGACAAAAGTTGAGTGTTTTTGCCAAAAGCAAGCAGTTGGTGCTTGGATAAAGTATTTTAGCAGTGGGTTGGAATGAACCTCTGAAGTTAAGTATCTACTCACCTTTGTATGACTGAATGGAAAGGTGCTAATTGTCTGTGTCTCTTTGGAAAAGGTTTAGTAGGAAAGAGAGACCTTTGTGATGCTGCATCAGTCCCATTCATGCCACTGGTTACTGTCAGTGGCAAAAATGCATGGAATTTATTCAGAATTCTTGGTTTCTTTTTTACTTATGTTAACCCTCCTTTGAGTATTTGGATTATCCTCCTAACAGTGGGATAAAAACCAGGCAGCTGGTGTTACAGCCCTATATTAATGGAGAATGCGTTCATACTTGTCATTTGCACATGGCAGAAGTAATTGGGAGGCCTGTGGGAACCTCTTTTGTTCCTTTAATATATTTGTACCCAAGGAAACTTGAGAAAACCCAATTCTGGTTGGACTCTTAAATACCTTTTCTCCTTTCATGAAGTGATGGTAGTTAAAAAAATATATATTGGATATCCTGTGGCTGGGTCTCTATTTAAAAAGAAAAGGAATATAGACGCTTATGTGAAGAATAAAATGAAAACCAGCTCAAGAAAAGTTCGAGGGGATTTACTTTATTTTTAAGATTGAATGCTTTTTGTTTCTCCTCCATTTTTAGAAATCTAGATTATATGCCATTAAATAACTTTCTGAAAATTTGTTTTTGGGTATGCAAATCCGACCTATTTGCTAAAATTTTAGTACAAGTATCAGTGTCACAGAGTAGTCTTTCCCAGCCACCATTTCTTGTTGGTGATAACGTCCAGTAGGTCCTGGCCCACGGGGTGCTCTAGTTGTTGAAAGGCACAAGAAGGTGGGGTGTAGATACTGAGATAGGTGGTGGCAGGGGCACAGCCTGTCCTGTACTCGCTTTATCTTGATCATTTATCCTGATACAGTGCAATCACAAGCAAAATCATTTTAAAATAAACGACCTGTGCATCATATTTTTGGATAATCCAGTGACCTGAAAAACATGTACATACACACACACACACACATACATATATATATATATATAAAGAAAAAAAAAAACTCTTAATAGTGGTTGCGTCTGGGGAAGGGGATTAGGAACAGTGGTGCGAGGGAGATTTTAGTTATCCGTGTGTGTCCATTTTGGTAACTTTTGGCATCTGTACCATGTATGTATATTTTATATTAAAGAAAGTAAAGGAAAAGGAAAAAACCCTCCCCTCTAAGCATTTTTCTCGCCTGGCAGGATGTTTGGTTCCCCACCCTGCCCCCAAGGATCTTCTGTCATTTCCTGGGTACCCCCTCCCCCCATTTCTTTTGCTTTTGAGGAAAACCCTTTCTGAATTCATTGACTTTTCTCCCTTATCTCTAATTTTGTAATTCCTCCCCCTTTCATGCAAGGCACTGAAGATCTCTTACCGTGAAATGCAGTCACCTCCTTTCAAACCCCGTTTGACCTTTCCGGGTCCCTTGAGACTTGTGCTCTCCTCCTAGCCTCTGGGACATCATTTCCTCCTGGTCCATTTTGACCCCTCTCACTCCATCTTCACAAGCATCCTGGCTGTGATTTTATCTTCCCCCGCTTCATTCTGTCTCCCTGAACAATCTCTGTTATGCTCTCGGGTGAAATCATCTGTGTCAGCAGGGATGGCCTATCTTCAGCTCAGTGCTGCAGGTTTCCTGGCCCTCTCGGGGTGTTTAGTTTCCCATTCCACAGGCACCTCAAAATCAAAATCACCTGAGCTTGCTATCCATTCTCTCACCATCCAAATCCCCAATTTTTTCCACTTGCTGTATTTTATTAGGTAGCATTCCCCACGACAGAAACCTGGGAGTTGTCTTAAGTTCCTTCCTCCACTTCACAAGGTTTTGGAATTACAGTTGGCCTTGCCGTAACATGCATATATTGGCTCTGTTGTCATCATACCCTTTCATCTTATAAATAAACTTCTAAACCGGGCAGCCTCATTCCAGATGGACTTGGAAGAAGTTTCATGCATATAAATGTTCTGTCTTTATTAAAAGGTGGGGAGGATCCTTTCAATTACTCCTCCGCATTGCCAGTTTTGTGTTTATACATCCATAGGAACGTCATTCCAGGGGCATTTCTGCATTTGAGACTTGAGTTTGCTAGTTTTGTCCTAGATAAAAAGCAATAACAGAACTTCACCGAACTTGTAGTTTATTATTTGAGTACTTCTGTTGTATTTTGCTTGGTTTCCTATTCAGTTACTTAAAAAAAAAAAAAAAAGTATCTTCTGCACAAGTAGAATGACTTCTTATCTATTAAATGTAGGTAAGTATCCACAGGATTAAAATAATAGTTGAAATTTAATGTGTACCTATTGTATACTTTACATCTGTCATATCATTTATTTATTTATTTATTTTGTCACATCATTTATTTCACCCAGTAACTGGGTGCAGAATGCAGAAGCTCAGAGACATGATTTGGATGTGCTTGGATGACACCGCTGTGGTGGTTGCTCCTCGCATGGGCCCCTCTTGAGATTCTTTAGTCATCATTTTAGATGGGGCCTGATAGTCCTTAAAAATAATCCAGTTAAGAACTGGATTTATGGGCATCTCCTTTTTTTTTTTTTTTAAGATTTTATTTATTTATTTGACAGAGAGAGACACAGCAACAGAGGGAACACAAGCAGAGGGAGTGGGGGAGGGAGAAGCAGGCTTCCCACGGAGCAGGGAGCCCGATGCGGAGCTTGATCCCAGGACCCCGGGATCATGACCTGAGCCGAAGGCAGCCGCTTAACGACTGAGCCACCCAGGCGCCCCTGGGCATCTCCTTTTTATTGGGAGTTGATTTCCACACAGTTGGTGTTGTCCTGTTTGGGTGCCCATTTATGATAGAAATGTTTACAGTCCTTCCATGCCATGCCCCTGATTATCCGTGGTCATGGGGTGACACAGAAGCAGGTGATAAAGGTGATGCCATTAAGATTTACATGGAACTTACATTTTGTAATTTTAATTATTGAAGGTGGTTTTAAGGCAACATTCCAAAAATCGTTACCAGGAGATAATTGGTTTTTGTTTTATGTGTTAATAATTTCTCTGCTTACTTGAATTTTTGGTAACTAGAATGTGGCTGTCATCTGAAGAACATTATGGTCAGTAATTCACGTTCTCTCTCTTTTTTCTTTTAGTGCAATGAAACCTCATTCTTTTTTGAAGCTCGAAGTAAGACTGCTTGCAAGCATCTTTGGAAGTGCAGTGTAGAACATCATACATTTTTTAGGTATGTTAATGTGAAAGTTTTATGCATTGTTCTAATAAATGAAAATTGATTTGTTTTTATAACAATAATTCTTTTCTGTCTACAGTAGAAATTTAGAAGTGTTTCTCTTCTGTTAATTTTTTTCAGCCACCTAATTTTCTGGATCGTATTAACACACACACAAACACACACACACACAGATACCTTCTTTCCTACTACAAGAAAGGGTCAAGGACTTTTGTATATATAAAGAGTGAAGCTTTGGTATTGGTGGAAATTAAATGTTCTGAGAACATACTAAATATGAAATGCATGTTAGCCATCTAAGTAGAGATGTGGAGTAGGTGGTCGGGTATACAAGGCGTCTTGGAAAGACCAAGGCTGGCCATGTAAACTTACTGGGTAATTAAGGCAAAGAGGACTGGATGAGGTCATCTGTGGCAAAAGTGAGGAAAGAGAAGCAGATAGCCGAGGACTGAGCTGTGGGATCCTCCCAGCATTTAGAGGGCGGTAAGAACCAATGAAGGAGTATAAGAAGGAGTAGCCAGTAGCCAGTAAAGTGTATGGAAAAAGTGGGAACTAGGGAGGAAAATGTCCTGGTGAATAAGAAGCTGGCAGCTGCATTGCATGCTCCTCGGAGGTCAAGTGAAATGAGGATAAAGAATAGACCCTTGGATTGTGGCAACACTTCTTGTTTCACATCCTTATGGTGTAAAGATAAAACCACATCCTATCAGGTAACATATTAAACTTTATTTTTTGCTTTTAAATTTAAAGCTAGATTAATTCTTCCCCTAATTCCTATTTGATGTGGATGGAACACTTCTCCCAAATAGCATGATGTTGGAGAAGTATTCTTATACAGTGACCAGTGTCCTTCATAGAGTTTATATTAGGTGAGGGATGTGGCCCAGCAGGTCTGAGACATCGCCAGTAGACCAGTGGGGCCTGGGCCAAGGAGCTCCACATGGAAGGTGTCTGTTGAAGGTACCCTGGAATGGGAAGTCCCGAAATACAAAGAACAGTGAAACACCACATCAGATCTGCCATGAAAACCATGGCATGGGTAAATCAACATAGTGACAAAATCCTTTTTTTTTTTTTTCTTCTGTGATAAAATTCTTAAGTAGAGAAAGTATTTGATCTATGTAAAATCCGAGAGAGTGGTTGTATTTCAAATTTTAGCTTAAAATAACTGATAATTATCTCCTGCCAACATGTAGAATAAATAAAATATTTCGACTAGCTGTGAAACAGTGTTGCACTATATTTTCTACCTAACTTTTGCTCAAGTGTTGTGTAAGTATTTATGAATCCTTATCTAATTTTCTTTTAAAAATTTATTAGAATGCCAGAAAATGAATCAAATTCATTGTCAAGAAAACTCAGCAAGTTTGGATCCATGAGTTCTAAGCACCGGTATAGGTAAATGGCATTTTTTCCTTGGGGAAGGGTGTGTGTGTGTGTATGAATAAATAAATATTGAGGTCAGTTGTCCACATACATGCACATTAAAGTTTATGACTTAAATCTTTTATTAATTTTTCTACAGTGCCCATGAATTTCAAAAGTGTAACAGTTTATTAACTTTCTTGATGGGGCGCCTGGGTGGTACAGTCGCTTAAGCATCCTAACTCTTGATTTCGGCTCAGGTCATGATCTCAGGGTCTTGAGATCGAGCCCCTCTTTGGGCTCCACACTGGGTGTGGAGCCTGCTTGGGATTCTTCTCTCTCTCCCTCTGCTCCTTCCCCACTCTCCTCTGTCTTTCTCTGTCTCCCTTATCTCTAGAAAACAAAAACCAAAAACCAAAAAAAGCAGCCTTTCAGGTTTAAGCTTAGGGCTTTTAGAATGTAGTAAAGCTTATTATCTTCAGATACTCATTTCAATACAATTATCACTTTATTTTTAATTATGTTGTGATTATGAAACAAAGTAGATATCCTGAATTGTAGTTGAATGGTGTTCTTAGGACATTCACTTGATCCCCTATTGTAACACAATGTGTACTTTATACTGTGGATCAAATTGTGTTCCCTACTGCTTAAAACCTACATGTAGTAATGCTGTAATTATATCTAAACTTTACTGAGCAGTAACTAAGTGCCGTGTGTTGTGCTAAATGGTTTCCATTCATTGCTTCTTTGAATCATTGCAGTCTTCTTAACATTATCCTCTTTAGTATGTGAGGAAACTAAGGTTCAGAGAGGCCAAGTCACTCTTCAAGGTAACCGGAAGAGTGGAAATTTTTATATTGAGAATAACTGATAGTCAGTATTTGGGCTGTTTTTCTAGTTGGGGCATAAAACATTTTTAGGGTTATCAAGAGAATGTGTAAATCTATCTCCTTGTCACTGAAATGAAGCTAGTGAAAAGGCATCTGTCAGTGTTCATGCTATTAAAATTGTAATTATGCTGTTTAACATATGCTGTAGTTGGTTTCCACAGATTTACCCATACCTGATTTCTCAAATTTATTGAAATGCAAATGTTGTGGCTACTGGGAATTATTATTAGAAAGTTACTGGATTTTGCATATTAAATATCATTTCTTCCGAGAAAGTAATTAAAGGTAACCTTTGTAGAATTGGAAGCTCTACTAAATCTGTTCTAATTTTGTGGATGGTATTAACTCCCTAGTAAGTCTTAATGAAACCCAAATCTCCATGTCTGTATGTAGGAAGCATTAACGTTACACCATCCCTGGAAGAAAGATGTTTCAGCCCACTGCCCAGAGCTAGGCTCACACAGAGGTGGGTCTCTGCTGGGTGGTTGCCAGCCCGTGGTCTGTTAATTGTCGAAAGAGGAAAAGCAACCAACCTTTAACAAACATCATATGCTTACTCCTTTCTTGAAACATTCTGGAGAAACCGTAGAATAAAAGCAGAGCACTGGAAACACGGGCAGCCCCCTCCTCTACCCGGCAGGCCTTCAGAGCATCAGGGATAAAGAACAGCATGACAAGTGGCTGTGGTGTGTGAATGTGGGTGTCTGCATGTTCTGTGTGTATAATTGTGGATGTATTTTTAGTGGTGTGTGTGTAATGGAGGAAGACAGAGTTCTAGCCTTTATACTCTTTCCTGCATCTTGGGGCTTGCAGAATACCAAGAAGATTCCAACACCTTTTAGAAAAATGAATTCTTATGAAGGAAAAAATTCAATATTTCTAGTGATGTGTGACTGCCAGTCCTTTCAAAAAGTCAAAATTTGTGGGTAAACTGAGTTGAAGTCTGAAATCTAATCCTTTTGTTGTTGTTTTATTATCAGATAGCAATAATTTGAAATAGGTACTGATGAAATATTTTGTTATACACTGAGTGCTCCTTCTTTGAGCTCCTCAAAAACTAACTTTGCCTTCACCTGTTAAGTATGTAGGTGACTCCGGATTAGAATGAATGAATGAGTTGTATAGACTTTATCCTCCAGAAGTGAGAATTAGGCCTGAGAAATCCCCCCTGGGGACCCAGGTGACCTTCTTATAGGACTGAAATCACATGGGCTTCCCACATTTCTTGAAGTGTGGGAGAGACCACGCTCTCATGAGGACCTCTTTTCTGTCGGGTGCTTTAAATGTGTTACTTTATTTAATCTGTGCAATGACCTGCCAAGGGAGGCATCATATCCTCATTTATACAGATGAGAAATTTGAGCACCGCCCCCCCCCCCCCCCCGCCCCAAATAAAGTAACTGAACTAAAGACCTTGAACCAATAAGTGGCAAGGCTGGGATTTGAACCCAGGTGTCTTTACACTTGTTCCCTCCCCCTTACCCCGCTGATTGCCAGTTGTGCCCTCCCTAGCAGAGTGCGTGCGCTGGAGTGTGAGTTGGCAGGGAAGTGGGTGATTATGGGGGGGAAAAAAGCTCTTTCCTGTCACTACGGAGAGCCACCAGACATGTATAGGAACTCTCACACTTTACACTGTAAATCTCTATTTTCATCACATACTTTCTGTTACAAGGAAATAGTAAGAATACTGTACAAGAATATTTCTGCTCGGAAAGAGACTGCAGAAGTAGAAATATATTTTCAATGAGGAAAATGAGACTCTGGGAGATTTTAAAAATAATCTGCTGAAGACCACACAATGGTAGCAGAGCTTTGTTTTAAGCGGGGCTTATCACTTCAAACCCGACAGCTCCATGTTCTGCCCTCTCTCCCGTGCCACCAGGCTGGGCCACAGCCATCTGGAGGTCAGAAGGCTTGCTCTGGTCAGGAGCCCTGTACATGCTGGGGCAGATCAGTTTATGTTTCTGGACCATAGTTTTATTAATCTTGTAATACGATTTTCTTATTTCTCCTCTATTCCTGAGAGGGAAACCATGAGGAAAAATTGAATGATAAAGTAAAATCTCATTATAAAATGCCACTGTGACCCACATATTGGGTTATATTTTTAGGGCAAATATTTCTTCCTCTCTGCAGTGAGATACACAGTACCCAAATCTTTCTGATAACAGAAAGTCTGTTGTAAGTAGCTCTTATTTTTATTCCTCAAACCATTTATAATAATGGAATTTTGCTCTTAATATGGAATTTTTTTTTTTTTTAGCTTTTCAGGAAAGAGATGTTGCTACTTGTGGTACCTTATATGCTACCTTAAAAAAAAAAAAGTTAGATTTCAAGTGAAAGAAAATCTGTCAATAGGTTTTCTCCCCTCCCTTCTGCCTGGTTCCCGTGAACTATTGAACACGAAGCATGCTCACGGATAGAACCTGCCATCTAAATTCCCATGGTAGCTCATACCAACTGGTATCCCCAGTTAGCCTGATGAGGAGTCACTTTTATGAGTATTTCAAGCATCTTTTTATTTCTAATAAAGGTAACTGGGGTAGTCACTAGGGGAAACTTTCACAGAAGCACGTAGGAGGTGAATTTTGCTTTATGAGTCTCATCTCTTTTGGGGAGAGATTTATTAATATTTATCCTGTAAATGTAGGAGGAATAAGATTTGAGCCATTAAAAGTCCTTTTTCCTCCCATACATGGCTCTTTTTGTGATGAATCAAACCAAACATACAGAAATGCATTTTTCCTGTACCTGAATGATATTTTCCTATGGAAGTCAGGGTCATTCATTCGCTCAAATTCAGCAGCTGTGGAATAATTTTTCAGTAAGGTGAATGTTCACTGAAATCCAGCAAACAATTGCACAATTGCTCAGGAAGATTACTTGAAAGTCCATTCCCAAGGAGAGCACACCTCCTTGCATTCTCAGACTCTTTAGAGAAGCAGCACTTTGCATGGGGTTTAGGCTAGCTCTAAATCTTCCTGGGCACTTGATCTGGTACAGGTGAGGGAGCATAATAAACGATGGATTGTGCCACAGCAGGGTTCAGGGTAAAATCATACCAAGTGGTCCTGTGGGGGAGGTATGCTTTACAACTTGCTGTGTAAGTACAACCCAGAGACCTGTTGATTCATGTAGATTCATTGCTATTGTTTACTTTAGCCTAATGTAATTTATTATTTAGTTGTAGAGCTGGAAGACCATCAGCATCCTCTATTTCTAGCTCATCATTCTACTTAAATCTAAACCTAACTCCTTTAATACATTTCTCCCTGTTTCTCCCTCTGATAGATCATCCTTCTGTCTAACCTAAGACTCTCCTATTAGCCCTTGGTTAATATTGCAATGAGAACCCATTGAAAACCCTTAGATACTCATGGCCTGCGTGAGTCTGCTTTTTTTCCCTCTCCATACATTGTAGATATTCTGAGTGAGCCGTGGTTTAATTTTGTGACTGTGTGGTTTTATCTGTGCTAACCAAAATGTTGCACTTCCAAGTGGCAGGACAGCATTGCAAATGAGTCGAGATCTTTCTATTCAACTTCCTCGGCCAGATCAGAATGTGGCAAGAAGTCGAAGCAAGACTTACCCAAAGAGAATAGCACAAACACAGCCAGCTGGTAAGTCACTGATGTAACTTTGCATTTCCTTTTAGGGTGGTGGTGTGAGATATGCCCAGGTGGTGATAGCCATGTAGTTTTCTTTTATTGGTAACAGTAGAATGTTTAATTTGGCCCTGAAAATGTCCAAGCAATTAGAAGCTACTAATAAGTAGACCAGTAGTCAGCTTGAATCACCATAACCTGCTTAATGATTATATTTTCTTTTTGAATAAAATCCCAACTGAGTAATCTCTTAGTTTAATGTATCTGAGATTAGAACTGAAACTCTTAGCAAAAGTTCTTAAAACAAAACAAAAAAAAGGAACACTATTGACATAATCTGTACAGAACTTAGTTGAATTTTTGTTATTGTTGGTCTTTTATTGTGAAATATATGTGTAGAAAAGTGACTACAGTGTACTTACATACATGAATGTATATATATATATATATATATATATATACACTTGTACATACACACAGAGAATTTAACATAGCCTACAGCCCCAAAGTCCTTCCTATTGGCCTGATGATATCTTCACTATCTCCTCCCTCCCCAACCAGAGAAAATCCCCATCTGACTTTGTGGTAATTATTTCCTTAATTTTTGTTACAATTTTAATACTGTGCAGCCTTCCCTGAACAAACAAGTTTATTTTGCCTATTTGTAACATTATATGAATGAATCATGATGTGTATTGTTTGTGTTTTGCTTCTCTCTATCAATGCTATTATGTAGTGTATACTAAAGTGCATTCACTTTTCTTGCTGTGAGTATTCCATGTTATGATCATTTCTTTATCCATTCTACTATTGATGGACATCTGGGTTGCTCAGGTTTTTTCTTTTAAATGAAGACTACTTCTGTAATAAAGCCAGCTAATCAGTTTTAATTCATGTTCAGAACTCACAGAATTGTACTGTAAAGTGACATTATACATTACTGAGTTTGATTTATGGCTTACTTATAGATCACCCTTATCTAACACGTTCCGTGGACTTTTTTAAAGATTTTATTTATGAGAGAGAGCAAGAGAGCAGGAGGGGGTGTGGAGTAGAGGAAGAGGGACGAGCAGACTCCACGCTGAGCATGGAGCCTGACATGGGGCTCGATCTCACTACCCTGAGATCATGACCTGAGCTGAAACCAAGAGACACTTAACTGATTGTGTCACCCAGGCACCCCTGGACTTTCTCATATACTGTCTCACTTGAGCCCACAATAACCTGTGAGATAGGGCAGAGCAAAGAGTATGTTCCCATTTTACAGATGAGGAAGACATGATTCCAGCAGCTAGACAGAGTCCCCCCTGACTGGGATAAGAACCTAGGTCTCCTGGTTTTTGTTTTTATCGTATTGTGGGAAATGAGTGGAATTTTTAATAACAATTTCTATCTGAACATTGCATGACAATTGACATAGCATTACGACGTCCATTGTTTCACTGAATCCTTATGCCAAGCCTAGGAGGAAAGTATTTTGCTCTACTGCTCCTGGCTGTGAGAATGTCACCTGCCTTACTGTTTCGAAGTCAAATTAGATCTGACTGTAGGTCTCTCCCTGTCACTGAGCTGGGAGGAAATTAAATTCTTTCTGTTGGTTCTGCGGTGGCAAAAATAAGACACGATTTGCAATAGGTTACTTTGTCACATAAGTATTATCATTATCCCTGTTTGGCTGATGAGGAAACTAAGATTTTAAAAGGTAATTTGTCCAAGATTATATACTAAATAGGTGGCTTATGATAAAAATTCTAGCCTTAATATTTAATATCTTTATCTTAATTTTTTGTATTTATCTTTGTATATGAGCAATCTTAAGTCCCATTTGGATCAAATACAGTGTGGTGTAATTAATAATTGAACTTTCAAATCCTGTGCTGTTTCTGAATTGCCATGCCTCATGAAATTATCGAGACCAACTGAATATATCAAAAGCATTCCTTCCTTCAAATCAACATTTCATCCTGTTTGAGATGTGGGATTCCACACATGCTTTTTATACAAAGCTACTCAGCTACTTTTCTTCAAATGTGCTCTTATAAAGATACCTGCCTCTGTAATACTTTCTGTATGTGTGGGTGTGTGGCTCTCCTTGGACTCCCAGATTCTAGAAGCTGATTAATTTACGGACAGGAATTTTTGGTTTTCTCTCTCTCTCTCTTTTAAGATAGATTTATTCATTTATTTATTTGAGACAGGGAGAGAGAGCACAAGCCGGAGGGAGAGAGGGAGAGGGAGAGAGAATCCCAAGCAGATTCCATGCTGAGTGCAGAGCCTGACCCATGGCTCCATCTCATGACCCTGAGATTACGACCTGAGCTGAAATCAAGAAGTTGGCATTTAACCCACTGTGCCACCTAGGTGCCCCATGTTTTTGTTTTTCTCTTACCTTATGCAGAGGACACCCCAGGGGATGGTATTGAACCCTCATATCCCCCCTCCCCCCCACTCTCCACTCATCTTGTGTTGTAGTAAAAGACGCTCTCTCTTCCGTAGGGGTTGAGGGTGTGGCTAATGTTCCACCCAGGTTTTTCAAAGACAGCCTCTGAGCGTCTGGGAAATCTTTTTAAAATGCAGCACATTATGGGGCATCTGGGTGGCTCAGTCTGTTGAGCCTCTGACTCTTGATTTCAGCTGGGGTCTTGATCTCAGGGTAGTGAGTTCAGGCCCCAAATTGGGCTCCACACTGGACATGGAGCTTACTTTAAAAAAAAAAAAAAAGTGCAGCCCATTATGCATTTATTATCATAAAAGCCTGGCTGGCTCAGTTGGTAGAGTGTGCAACTCTTGATCTCAGGGTCCAACCCATGTTGGGTGTAGAGTTTACATAAAAATACATATGTACATATATACATGCTTGTTTTAAGAAAAGTTAGGAAACCTAGAACCTTTCCTCCCAAAACAAAAAAATCTTTCATCTTCAATTCCATTCTCCTAGTACTTAACACTTTATTATATAGCCTTCTGGTTGTTTGTATATCTTTTCTGCAAAAGCAATATAGTATTCTTTTACAATCTACTTTACTTATTTAATAATATATCATAGATATATCATAGATATGTTCTAATAAGTTTTGAAATGTTCTTAGCACTATTTTTTTTAAACATTTTATTTATTTATTTGACAGAGAGAGAACACAAGCAGGGGGAGCAGCAGGCAGAGGGAGAGGGAGAAGCAGACTCCCCGCTGAGCAGGGAGCCCAATGCGGGGCTCCATCCCAGGACCCTGGGATCACGACCTGAGCCGAAGGCAGACGCTTAACCGACTGAGCCACCTAGGCGCCCCAGTTCTTAGCACTATTTTAAGATATCTATAATTTTCTGCCACACAGATGTATAGACATGACATAGCTTATTCAACCAGTGTTTAGTTCTTGGACGTTTAAGCTGCTTGAAATTTTGAAGACTATAAATATAACTAAAGTGAATCTCCTTGTAGTGATAGCTTTAAGCATTCATGCTAATTTATCATATATATTTTAAACAGTAGTGTATTTTCATCATTTTTAATCTAAAAAGGATTAAACAATGCTGTGTTTAGAAACTAAGACTTTGCTGTGTACACATTTTGCTTTGATTTGGAATTACTTTTAGTGTGACTTGTCAAGCCTGGGTTCCACAAAACCCTGATGTGTTCTGGGATCCAGAGGTGACCCTCCCTTGGACAGTGTGACTGTCCTGGGTCGGGAAGGACCACTTAGCAAATGCCAATGATGAGGTGTTACAGTTGCTGTCACACGCATAGGGAGGATGTGGTTGAGGCTGGGATTAATGTTGTTCTGCTTTTTCAAATCTGATACTTTCTTTTTCCTCTAATTCAAATGTACTCAGCTTTGAGCCTCAGTTGAACCCAGCTGGTGGTGACCCAGTCTGACCCATGCCCTACTCCTAAGGTCATGGTGGGGTTCAGACTTAGAGCAGAATATTTGAAGAGGGTCCTCTTGTCTTCACCTACGTTAGTCACTGCTGCACTCCTTGTCCCAGCCCTCCAGGCCCCAAGAGGGTGGGCAGTTTTCTGTGAAGCTGGGCTGGGATGTGTGTGAGAGGGAGGGGTCTCTGGTGAGCCTAAGAGCCCGCTGTGCTTAGGGTCAAGCCTGCCTATGACGCCTCTGCCAGTCCCCCTTGAAGGTTCCGCTGCCTGGGGGAAGGGAGGGATGCTTGAGGGAGTGGCCTGCGGGTCACTAGGTCGCTGATGCCCTCTGGCCTCTGTTTCCTTCTCTGCCCCTATAGGCGGTTCCTTCAGCCCTGTCCCTTCCTCCCACACTCCCAGCTCCGACAGCCCCCTTCCTTAGAAGCTCCCTATTCCTGAGACTCATTCATGGGTGGCTGGGCAGGAAAGGAACAGTAGCTCTTGTTTTTTTAAAAATTACTTCTTACTGACCAAAGGGAACAAAAATGTTACTTTACTAAATGATGCTGCCACAATTAACTTAAATTTTCATTTAAAATTTTTGACAAAGCGGCAGAACGCTGATATTAAGACATAGAAAAAGTTAATTCGATTGTACTGTATTTGGCAAAAATGGAGTTACGGTTTAGATAGAAGATAGATTTTTTTTTTTAAACTCTAAACAGGCCAGCTATTAATTTTCATAGATTAAATTCTGCTGATATTTTCCCTAAAACAACATTTTAGACCTACAGTTTCAGGAGTTATAGGCATAAATTCTCACCTCATTTAACATTTATATATAATAAAAACCAAGTTGTGATAGGAGGCCTTTGTTTTTTGTTAGTTTATAACCTTGATCGTGCATGATTTTTTACTGTAGGAGACATTCTTTTATTTCTTAAAGTAATTCAGTCTAACTTAGCGACTATTCCCCTTACATCTCAGTTGTCTACAAATTTAAAACACCTTTTTTTTACCTCTCAGTCATGAATAATAAATTCCCTGGTAGCAAAAAAGCCATTGTGTTTAGAATCCACAAAGATTAGGCCTTGGCACCTCTAGGAGGAAGCGCATTCCAGAGTCAGAGCCCTGCAGCCAGCCTGCCTGGGCCCCACCCAGAGGG